TTTGGTTTGTTTTTTGAGTTTTATTGTATGGTATGGATATGTCTCAATTTGTTTGAAATACATTTAAATTGTTTCCAGTTTGTGGCTATTATTAATATAGTTACTACAAATATTTATGTACAGGTTTGGAGGAGAATATAAGTCTTCATGCAATTGCTATGCTGTATGGTAATTGCCTCATTAGTTTTATAATCATCTGCCAAACTCTTCTCCAGAATGAGTAACATTTTACATTGCTGCCAGCAATTTGTGAGTAATCCAGTTTCTCCGCATCCTCCTCAGAATTTGACAGTGTTAACATTTTATTATTTTTTAAATTTTAGCCATTGGGATAGATATGGGGAGATAGGACATTGTGGTTTTTTTTTTCATATTTGTAATAGCTAGTAATATTGGAAAGAGTCCTGGGGGTGGTTAAGCACTAAGCTGTGAACTGAAAGGTTAGCAGTTCCACCCAGAAACCACTCTGTGGGAGAAGGATGAAGCAGTCTGTTTCCATAAAGTTTTCAGCCTTGGGGCAGTCCTACTCTGTCTTGTAGGATTGGTGAGTCAGAATCAACTCTATGACAATGCTTTTTGGTTAGTCCTTTGTTGGACACATGATATCCAATAATATTACGATTATAATAATTTTTACGTATTATGCTTTTGGTTTCACATCAGTTCAAGAACTCTTTGCATAGCTCTAAACCTTGAATAGGAGCTCTGGTAGCGTAGTGCCTAAGGCACTTGACTGCTAACCAGAAGGCTGCCAGTTCAAACCCACCAGCCACTCCTTGGAAGGAAGGTTGGTAATCTCCTGTAGTGATACTGCCTCGGAAACCCAAAGAGGGGTCGCTATGAGTTCGGTCCCACTCCACAGCACATAACAACAACAATAAACCTTGAATATTTTCTCCCATTTTTTTTTTCCTAATAATGTAATTTTACTTTTTCAATTATTTTTTACATAATATGTGATAATTTGGTTGAGTTCCTTTTTTTCTTTTTTCTTCCTATAAATATTTGAATGTTCTCACACTGTTCATTTAAAAGATGAGCTTCTCTCCATTAAACTGCTTTTGCACATTTGTGAAAAAATCAGTTTGGTATATTTGTGTGACTTTATTTCTGAATCCTCTATTCCATTTCATTGGCCAATAAGTCTATGCCTCTGGCAAAACTGTCTTCTCTTGGTTACCATAGTTATATAATAATTCTTGAAATTTATATACTTATTTCTCACACTTGAGTCTTTTTTTAAAAAAAAATTGTTTTAGCTATTCTAGTTGTTTTCTTTACATGTACATCCCCGGGTGACACAAAAGGTTCAGCCCTCGAGTACTGCCAAAAGTTGATGGTTTGCTCAAACCCAGAGGTGTCTCAGAAGGCAGACCTGGCAATTTGCCACCCAAAAGATCACAGCCTTGAAAAGCCTATGAAGCAGTCCTGTTTTGCACACCGGAGATCATCATGAGTTTAAATAGACTCCATGGCAACTAACAACAATAACAAAAACAGCATTTAGAATAATGCTTCTCCATAACCAAAGATGAACTCACTGCCATCAAGTTAGTTCTGACTTATAGCAACCCCAACTGGGTTTCTGAAGCAGTAAATCTGTATAGAAGTAGATCTCTCTATCTTCCTTTTGAGGAAAAGCTCTTGGTTTTGAATCACTGAGCTGGTTATTAGCCAAATACCTAATCCACCATGTCACCAGAGTTCCTTAATATTTCTAGATAGACAAAATATATTGTTGAGATTTGATAGACATTGAAGTGTAATAGTATAGACAGATAGAATTTCTGGTAGATGAATATGTGTTCTAACTTCATAACCTAAAACCAAAAACCAAACTCACTGCTGTTGAGATGGATCCAACTCATAGCAACACCTCCTTGGGTTTCTAAGGCAGTATCACTACGGAAGTAGATTGCTCAACCTTCCTTCCGAGGAGTGGCTGGTGGGTTCAAACTGCCAGCCTCCTGGTTAGCAGTCAAGTGCCTTAGGCAGTACGCCATAACCTAAAGATCCATACTAATCTTGTTCAATTTAAAGATTGCCTTATTCTACTACTTGTAGCCATAATCAACTAAGAATCCTGCCACTGCAACCACTTTCCTTAGAACATGAGACTAAAGAAGGGACACTGCAAAACAAATAATGAAAATATACATTAACTGCTTAGATGTCATTTCCTGATAATAGGCCATTTTTGAGATGTCTTCTACCCATTACTCATAGTCAGTGTTAACCAGTTTTGAAACATGTGCATTCCTGCCCTCCTTTACTGCTTGATGAACTAAGATGACTAATCCAAGAGGAGGCCAAGACTCAAACCAAGAGCAAACAGCAGAACACACCTGTGCAGAGGTCGCAGCATCCATGTTAGAAAACACAGACTCCATCTTAGAAAGAGACTGCACATGAACCTAGTCTGAAGGAAGTTGAGATCTATTTAGGAATTTTTCACAGCCTTGTTCCGCTTCCTGACTTACAAAAGGGTCAGGATTTTATGAACACCTGCCTGCATAAGATCTTTTGAAATCAGGTACCCTACAGACTTAGAAACTACTATAAAATCCCCTAGCCTGTAAGGCTCAAGGAAACATACATGACATTGCCTATGATCCCATGTGTCTCCACCTTTCAAAGTTATTATCCTGTTATTAAACCTCTCTGAGATACAGTTGACTTTCTAGTCATTATTCTGGAACTTGGCCTGCAACAGTTTTAGCCAAACTATCAATTTGGGAGGAGTCAATGTTTCTACTATGTTGAGTCTTTCAATCTGTAAACAAATATGCATCATCATTTATTTGTTGTTGTTATGTGCCGTCGAGTTGGACCCGACTCATAGTGACCCCTCCTTGGGTTGCCAAGGCAGTATCACTACAGAAGTAGATTGCCCAACCTTCCTTCTGAAATTTCTTTTGTCAGGATTTTATAGTATTCAGCATACAAGCCCATTACATATATTAGATTTTCACTTGAGTATTGGAGATTTTTTTGAGCCTCTATAAATGATACTGTTTTTAATTACAGTGGCCAACTGTTTATTGCTAGTATAAAGCAATAGAATTGATTTTTGTAATGCTTGTCTAGTATCTCACAACTTTGTTTAGCTCAATTATTAGTTCTAGTAGTTACTCTTAATTCCTTTGGATTTCGTAAATAGACTTTTTTCTTCCTGTATGCCTCCTATTTCCTTTTTTTTTGCACTACTGAGAATTCCCAATACTATGATCCAGCAATCCTATTACTATGCATATATCCTAAAGAAGTGAGAACCAGGACAAGAACAGATATATGCACACCCATGTTCATTGCAGCACTATTTATAATAGTAAAAAGATGGAAATGACCTAGGTGCCCATCAACAGAAGAAGGGATAACCAAACTATGGTATCTACAAACAATGGAATACTATGCAACAGTGTAAAATAATGTAGAATCTACAAAACACCATATAACATGAATGAAGTTGAAGGACATTACACTGAGTGAAATAAGTCAATCACACAAGGATAAATATTGTATTAATTCATTATTGTAAAAAGTCAAGGAAAAGTTTATATATGGAAGGGAAGTTTCTTTGTTGGTTACTAGAGGTGGAAGTTTAGGGGAGGGGACACTGCAAAACATAAAAAAAAAAGTAAATCTTTCACCAATAGGTATAATCTTGCTCTTGGTAGGAGTTGTTGAGTAGATTTCAACTCATAATGACTCTATGTACAATAGAATGATACACTGCCTTGTCCTGTGTCATTCTCACAATCATTTCAATATTTGAGCTCATTGTTGCAGCTACTGTGTCAATCCATCTTGTTGAAGTGTGAAGGCTTAAAAGGGGTCCATTGACATGAGGTTACCAGAGGACAAAGGCCCTAAGAATTTACATGACTGTGACTAATCAGGATAACTTAGCATAGTTTAATAAGTTGTGATCACTAAAGGGAACAAACAAAGCTATTAAATCTATACTGTTAAAGATCTCTGACCAAGGAAAATGCTTGTCTGATGTAAGGGGTAACTATGTTGTTTTTGTTATCTCTTATAAAAGTAATTTACTGGTTACCTCAGAGAGTTGACATAGCAGGACAATGTGGCCACATCTGACAAAGGATAGGCTGAGACACTTAGCTCATTTTCCACCAATAAGCTTTGGACAAGCCATAACCCTAAAGACTAGAAAAAGGGACCTGCTATGCTATTCAAATGAAGTCATGGTTCCTTCTTGTGGACAAAATGTTTCCTAATTGCAATTATCTCTCTCTCTCTCTTCTCTTTTAAAGTGCTCTACTGTATGAATTAATCTGAAATAAAACCTGTTGTCATTTTACAGCACTTTGTGCATTATGCTCCAGAACAATTCTTTGTGAGAGTGACAGGAACCATGGCAGCTCACCTCCTGCAGTGTTTCATTGTGGACAAAGGCAGGTAGAATCCTGAACCTCGTGACATCCCTTGCATCCCATGCCCTGTTTTGCCAAACAGGGAAATCCCTCTAGTCTAGTAAGTGTTCTCAGATCTTCATCCAGTAGAGCAATTTGTCTCTGCCCATTAATGAGCACTTGTAGAATGCTTCTGTTTTACCCTCTCTTTGTGTGTGTGTGTGTGTGTGTGCGCATATTGTTGGAAACCGTTAAAAATTTCTTACAAAGTGCTAACAAAAAGGAGATAATTGGAATGACAGGAAATTCAAAAAGTAAGGAGAAACCACCCTCAGGAATGGCTGTAGCTTTTATGGAAAAGAATTATGGGTTGAATTCAGTCCTGACCTAAAGAAATGGACTAATTTGACTAGAGATCAGGAAACCAATTGATGGCCTGAGTGAAGGTCATTTGAAACTATTAAGCTAAAGTGCTTAAGGGAAAAATTAGAGGAGCTCAGGGAAAAGGTCTGCCACCCCCAACGGGAAGGATTCTAAGAGTGAGTTTTTGAATCCTCTCATAGGAGACCAGACCACAGGTTTGTCAATTGATTAAATTACTAAACATGAAGACCAACTGAGGGAATGTCATTCAGTATTAGCTCAGACTTTTCAGAGAGGAAAAAACAAGGCAAACCTGTATCTGATTTTGACAAAGCCTTTGAAGAACACTGGGAAATTTTCCCTCAGCTCCCTTTTCAAGATGAGCCAGGGAGCCAATACAATATCAGAGAGATGCTTTTTAATAATCAGATTCCACAATTCAGGCAACCACTTGAGAAAGTGGGAAAATTTATGCCATTTTCAACTCCTGGACTAGAGAAAAAAGCTCCAGTCAATAGCTCAAGTATTCCCCAGATGTTAGAAAAGACTCATGCAGATTTAAAAAGAAATTCAGAATTTTAATTGATGCTTATAAACTAGAATTCATCATTTTATTCAAGTTTGTCCACATGATAGTCAGCTCGGAGACACTGTTATTTGGCTGGAAAAGGCCGGTTGGTGAGATACTCAGAATCAAAACCCAATGACATGAGGGATAAGATTATAGAACGGGTTAACAAAGAGGCCAATGATTTATACTAAGCCATTTGAGATGCTTTCTCTGCCCTGGTTGATTGGTAAAAAAATTTATCCCTGTGTCCAAAATAAGGGAGAGTCCACTTATGATTTCAAGGAGAGATTCTTTCAAAAATTCAAAACTAAACCCTGAAAGCTATCATATTCAAGAAGACTTCAATGCCTCCTTTATTGCAGGGTGTTCTGATTTCCTAGTGCCAGTCTGACAAGAACATACCACAAATGGGATGACTTGAACAAATAGTTAATTCCGTAATGGTTTTGAGGCTTTAAGTCCGAGTTCAAAGTGCCTAGCTCTATGGGCTGGGTGAACGCCCCTCAACCTCAGGTTTCAACTCTGCCTCTTGCTCTCGGCCCACTGAAGGCCCACTGAAACTGGAGGCTTTTCTTCACTCAGAAAGCTGCTGGCTGCTGTGACTGACAAGCCCAAAATTAACAAATAAAAAGTCACAGTCTCAATGTTACCAAACCACACAGCGGGTCATTAATTCAAGTCCATTGAAAGTCCCAAGTTCAGCAGAGCATGGTAGGCTGCTGAACAGTGACACACCTACATGCAGGGTTCAAGTGTGCCGTAAGGTAGAGACCATTCCCAAACCTGTTTCTTATATGCGGGAAGCAGACCACATACCCAAAGCAGCTACTCTGCTGCTCCAATAGATTCCACCATGGAGTTAATTACCAATGTCACCATGAAGAATAACTATTTTCAGCTGTCTAGCCATTCAACCAGGAGCTCTGGTAGTGTAGTGCCTAAGGCACTTGACTGCTAACCAGACGGCTGGCGTGGTTCAAACCCACCAGTCACTCCTCGGAAGAAAGGTTGGGTAATCTACTTCCATAGTGATACTGCCTCGGAAACCCAAGGAGGGGTCGCTATGAGTCAGGTCTGACTCGATGGCAAATAACAACAACAACAGCTATTCAACCAGGCCCAGGGAAGCTGACACACAAACTTAACTACCACACAGGGTTAGGACTTTATTTAGCCTTATCAAAAGAAATGTTTTAAATTGGAAAACAATAGAAACTAAGGCATTAGCTGGATAAGTCCACAAACTTTTTCAAACCTTAGAGAAAGAGCAATGTTAACAATGAAAAAATTTTAGTAGTTAAACAGTTGACCCTACTGGTTCCAAAAGACCCAACATGGTTCAACACTGTTGTAAGAAGCCATGGCCCTTCTAGTTAGAATGCTGCAAAAGGCAACAATACAAACCAAACAGATTTGGGTCCTCCAAGCCCATAGCCCACCTATGGAAGATTGAAGGTATTCCAGGGGAAATATAAAAGTCTAGCTGGTTGTACCTGCTAATCCACATGGGGAAATAGCTATCCAGTTAAATATAGAAAGCAGCATATTCTTAGTGGACATGGGTGAAGCTATTAGCCCCAGATTCTTCTCAAGATCCTTTCACTGGAGTAACAAATGTCAGTGGTTGTTGAAGTTAGCAACCCAAGCAGACTGTGTCTCATTCCCTTTTTGTCCCTGTTTCTTTAAAATCTATAGAGGACCAACATCAATTGTTATTGAGTATGAACTCTCCTATTAACTTGTTAGGGTGATATTTTCTTGTTAAATAGAATTGTCATATATAATTTACGCTTGATAGAAGAATCTTATTAACCATCTCATCTTGTCATAAAGGGGACAAGGATCAGGAACAACAATTAGATACCAGGTGTTATTTGCAGATGCTGCAAAAGAACTCTTTAAAGTGCTGAGCAGCAAAAATATCTCTTTGAAGACTAAGGTGTGCCTGGCCCAAGCCATAGTAATTTCAGTAGCCTCATGTGCATGTGAAAGCTGGACAATGAATAAGGAAGGCCAAAAATGAGTTGGTGATTTTGAGGTGTGGTGTTGGGGAAGAATACTGAAAGTAGCATGGCCTGCCAGAAGAAAGAGCAAATCAATTCTGGGAGAAGTGGAGCAACAGTGTTCCTTGGAAGCAAGAATATCTCACCTACTTTGGTCATGTTGTCAGAAGGGACCATTCTCTGGAAAAGAATACCAAGTAGAGGTTCAGCAAAGAAGGGGAAGACTCCCAACAAGATGGATTGCCACAGTAGCTACAATGATAGGTTCAGATATGGCAAGCACTGTGAGAATGGTGTAGCACAGGGCAGTGTTTTGTTCTGTGGTACTTAGCATTGCTATAGGTTGAAGCCAATTCAGTGACCCCTACAAACAACATAACAACATGAAGAAATACAAAAAAGGATGATGTTCAAAACCAAACTTTAGTTTTGCTGCCCAGTGTTATGGGCCACTTCAAAAACAGATATAGGCAGAATAATTTCATCTACCCCTATGGAAGTTCAAATAGTCTTCTCTAAACCATGCCTCAAATCACTCAATACCCATTGAGGCCAGAAGTCAGAGAAATGTTAGATGCTATCATAAGAGACTTCTTGATAAAAGGGCTTACTTTTCCCTGTGCTGGCCTTTACCACATGCCAGTCATTCCAGTTATAAAGTCCAGGAAAAGAGGCTGGAGATTTAAGGTCCATTTATACTATCATCATTCCTTGGCATGACAATTTATTTTTGGGAAATTATCTCAATCTTTTTGGTCCTTACTTGGTTGCAGCCATTTTAAATTCTCACCTAACCCAACATTGTCCAATAATTGATTATTCAATTATGAATTATTTTTTATTTCTATTCCTAATATTCAGTTGAGTATTTTTAAGACCCTTCAGCCAGTACCCTGTTACCCAATGAGGAAGATTTAACTTATGAACTGCATGATGGTTTGGATATGACTGACCAACCATTAATATCCATGAAAGATTAACAGATCTGCTTACAGAAGGCTAAATTAGAATTGTCTGTAGAAGGCTCACATGTAAGACCTAAGGGGTCATCTCAGTACTGAAGTGGGTATACTACTGCTTTTGAGATCCTTGAAAGTCAGCCATTCCCTGAAGGAACTTAAGCCTAGCAAGCTGAACTTGTGGCTTCTTACTCAGGGTTGTGAAACAGCAGAAGATAAACCTGTTACCATTTACACAGTTTCCCATGGGATCTGCATAGTTTATGACTTAGGAATTTTATGGAAACATAGGGGATTCCTTACTTTAGCTGGCACCCCAGACAAAAATGGACCTTTAATAACTCCCTTGTTAAATAGTCTATGGTCACCATCTGCCATGGTAGTTGTTAAAATGGTGGCTCACCAATCCCTGAAAAGTAGTCCTTCACAATAAATCAAAGGGAATAATGTACCAGACAAAGCAGCAAAAGCTGCTGCTAGAAAGAACTTTCTAAACCTACAGGGGATGGGAACAAACCAGGGTAATGAAACCCTAACAGGAAAATGGAAACCTCTTAAATCTTGTTCTCAAATGTTGTTAAGAGACATCACCTTAGGGACAAAGAAACCTAACAAATACAGGAAATTTGCACCTTTGAGGAAAGTTTCTCACTATTAAAAATCCAAAGAATATTGGCAGGTCAGGAAAAATTCCTTGATTACATAAACAGTGAGTTCTACTTTGACCTCACTTAACAAATCTGTTGTTGTTATGTGCCGTCGAGTCAAACCTGACCCATGGAGACCCCTCCTTGGGTTTCTGAGGCAGTATCACTACGGAAGTAGATTCCCAACCTTCCTTCCGAGGAGTGGCTGGTGGTTTCAACTGCCAGCCTTCTGTTTAGCAGTCAAGTGCCCTAGGCACTATGCTACCAGAGCTCCTTTTACAACTCTAGGTGGGTCCTAATAACAGACTTGTCATTCTAAGTAAGCTTCATGTACTTTTTTTTTTTTTTTTTTTTTAAATGAGCTTATATTGAGAAAGTATGAAGATTTCCTACTCTTTTTAGAACAAAATTTTGGGCAATAATCTGAGCTGGCTACCCGTTATTTACTGTTTAATCCTCAGTATTGAGAATGGGATAATGCCCTATTGAGTTCAGAAGAAAAAGATTTAACCATGTTTTTGTATATCAAACTGTCTACCCATTCCCTCAGATATATTGAAAAAGGACATCAATTATAGTGTGCTCACTTCTTAGGAGAAAATTATGAAAAGAAAGAAATTTAATGCAAGCTTGAACTGAAAAGTGGTCTTAACCATTTTTCTATACTTTGAGGGAACACTACCCTAAAGCTAGTTCATACTCCAAACTTGGAGTGAAAGATGGAGACAAAAATGATTAGATAGATCACTAAATTAGACAGAAAGGAAAAGTTTTCAGAGGACCAAGTAGACTGCCTGTTTTTCCCAAAGACTTACCTGTACCGTTTGGTCATACTCCACCAGTCGACTCATAAATGGAGGGAAAAACTTAGGTGTCTCATGCAGAAGTGTTATCAGGTATATTTCTGGAAGATTGCAAAACCAAAATCTAAACTCAGTGCCATAGAGTTGGATCTGACTCATAGTGACTCCTCCTTGGGTTTCTGAGGCTGTATCACTACAAAAGTAGATTGCCCAATCTTCCTTCTGAGGAGTGCCTGGTGGGTTTGAACCACCAGCCTTCTAGTTAGCAATCAAATGCCTTAAGCACTACACCACCAGAGCTGCCGGAAAGGCTGCAGACTTTGTCAATAAAGCACATCCTCACTACCAAGAGAGCAATCCAGGCATTTTTTGCCATTCATTAAGAGCACCAAGGTGTAGCTATTGGCAGAGCTAAAAGAACTTTGTAACACTTGTTCAAGTTGGGTAGAAGCCAGTCAGAGAGGCCAAGGGCAGAAGGACATGTCTGAAGTCGTAACAGAGAGGAGACTATCCTGATCAAAGAATTGTATCCTGAGCACATTCCTGAATCTGAATTGTAACCTGTTGCTTCCCTAATAAACCCCATAATAATGAGTATTGTCTGTGAGTTCTGGCCATTGCAATGAATTTTTGAACTTAGCAGAGAAGTAGTAAGTGTTGTGGGGGAGAGAGTTGATGTAAGAATTGTTAAAAGACTGGAAGGTGGCGGTATGTCTGGCCTTAGACAAATAAGCTTTGGGATGCTGATGGTGATTCTATCTTCCTCTTGTGAAGTTAGAAGAGGTCAGAATATGTTACCGCCATGTCCTTTTTGCATATGGATATCCTTGGACATGCCTGAATAAGACATTCCTGCCATTCTTGTTTTGTAAATATAAGATCTATATAAGTTATTTGTATGAAGTAGGTACTGTATGGAGGTAGTTTTAATTAATGATTATGCAAATGCTACAGTATTATATACAACATATTATAAAAGTTGCATATCAAGAAATATGGTAGATCCTAATCAATATCCTAATCCTTGTATTCAAAATTATACTAGAGATGATTTTGGAAGGCTAGCTATATTAATGAATCATGGTTTTTACAAATTAACTTTTTCTGATTTAATAATAATTATTATTTGCTGTATCATGCCCCATGGGGATATATATTTTTATGTGGAGGTCCTGAGTTTGCTAGTGCAAGTAATGAAAATCCCAGGAATAACACTATTACTTGGACTACTAATTGTGTTGATGGATGACACATGACTGGTCAATGTACCATAGACACCCTTTGAGTGGCTTGGATATTCACACCACCTAGGCTGTTAGTTATTGGACTAGTGATGTTAAATACTTCCATTTCATGAAAGGAAATTTAGTCTTTGCCAGAAATCCCTGAGTCAATCATCCCAGTTGGGGATATTTATTGCTAAGAATTTTTATTCCATCTTTTACAATTGCTAAACTAGAAGCTTCCATTAGAAATTTATCCATGACCATGGTTAAGATAGTTAACGAAGAAGCTGAAAGGATGACAGCCCAACAGAAGTCCCTTGACTCACTAGACATGTTTTTCCTTAATAACTGCATTGACAAGATATTTATTAGTCCAGCAAGGAGTATATGCAGTAATTGTTTCTTGCTGCTCATCAATTAATAGCATAAAACCTGGCTAAAAGCCACTTGGCTGCAGGTTGTGAAGCCTTATGAATTACCAGATTTATTTAGGTAACTTCCAAATGGTATAGAGTCCAGGCTCAAAGGTATATTGCAAGGTCTCTTTGTCCTTCTAGTGATCATGCTATTAATTATTATCATAATTAAATTAATCATGATACCATAAAATGGTGTGTCCACACTTTGGAGTTCCACCTTCCACACACTGGATGCTATACTAGTGTCCACTCCTTTAACAACCTAAGGTTGTTGTTTTTGTTGTTATGTGCTGTCGAGTTGGCCCCGACTCATAGTGACCCCTCCTTGGGTTTCCAAGGCAGTATTAGTACTGAAGTAGATTGCCCAACCTTCCTTCTGAGGAGTGGCTGGTGAATTTGAACCACCAGCCTTCTGGTTAGTAGTGAAGTGCCTTAGGCACTGTGCTACCAGAGCTCCTAACTTAAGGTTAGGATCCCATTTGACACATTGGCTTTGACTATGATGAAGATCAAGATCTGTCCCAGCCACTGCATTACTCTTTGGTGTCTATTCATTGAACATGGTCTGAAATGTCTCAGAGGAGACAGCCAGTGGGGGAATAGATTCTTGTCCACAATTACTTGGGATCAAAGTGGCAAAAAAGTTGTCCTTGATTAGCACAGAGAATGTAATATTGTGAGAGGCTAAAAGTGGGTATGTCAATTTGAGGTTATCAAAGGACAAAGTACTAAGAATTTTCTGTTCTTTTTTTTTTTAAAAAATAAATTAAGCTAACTTAGCATAGTTTAAGAAAGTATGATTGGTAGAGGGGACAAACAAAGCTATTAAATCTGTACTGTTAAAAGTTACTGACCCAAGAAAATGCTTATCTGATGAAAGTGGTACCTATGTCGTTTCTCTTCTCTCTTATAAAAATAATTTTTCAATTATTTCAGAGTTGACCTATCAAGGCAATGGGCTGCAACTCTTGAAGGATGAACTGAGACCCTTACCTCGTGTTTTATCAATAACCTTTGGACAAGCCATAACCCTGAAGACTAGAAAAAGAAACCTGCTAATGGTAATCGAATGAAGCCACTGCTCCCTGTTTTGAACACTCGGATTCCTCATTACAATGTTCTCTCTCTCTTCCAAGTCGCTCCACTGTATTGATTAATCTGAAGTAAATCTGTGTTGTACTTTACAGCAGTTTATGCATTATACACCAGAACAGAAGGTCTTCCTCTTTTTTGCTGACCCTCCACATTACCAAGCATGATGTCCTTCTCCAGGAATTAGTCTCTCCTTATAACATGTCCCAAGGACTTGAGATGAAATCTCACCATCCTTGCTTCCAAAGAGTACTCTCGTAGCACTTCTTCCAAGAAAAATATGTTAATTGTTCTGGAAGTCTATGTGTTATATTCAATATTCTTTGACAACATCATATTTCAAAGGCATAAATTCTTCAACCTTCCTAATTCATTGTTCAGCTTTTGCATGAATGTAAGTTAATTGAAAATACCATGGCTTGGGTCAGGTGCACCTTAATCTTCAAAGTGACATCTTTGTCTTTTTTAACATTTTAATGAGGTCTTTTACAACAGATTTTCCCAATGCAATACATCATTTGATACCTTTACTGCTGCTCTCATTGATGTTGATTGTGAATCCAAGTAAAATTAAATCTTTCACAACTTCAAACTTTTCTGCTTTTATCATGATATTGTTTCATGTCCAGTTGTTAAGATTTTCATTTTATTTGTGTTGAGGTATAATCCATACTGAAAGGTATATTCTTTGATCTTCATCAATAAGTGCTTCAAGTCATCTTCACTTTCAGCAAGCAGAGTTACGTCATCGGCATATTGCAGGTTGTTAATGAGTCTTCCTCCAAGCTTGATGCCACATACTTCATCATATGATCCAGTTTATTAGATTCTAATCATATCTGTAGATTTTATTTTTCATAGATGCTCTTTATAGATTTGAGGAAATTTCCCTTTACTTCCATATTTTTGTGAATTTTTTCAAGCATGAGTGTTGAAGTTTGTCATTTTTCTTTCTGTATAGATTTTGATGATCACATTAATTTTCCTCCTTTTCCTGTTAATATGATGGTTTCACTGATTGCTTTTGAAATATTGAAACAACTTTGCATCTTTGGAATGAACAACTTATTCATGGTAGGATAATTCATTTTATATATTGTTGAATTCTATTCGCCAATATCATTATTAAGGATTTTCCATGGATATTGTTAAGTAATATTAGTGTGTAATTTTCTTTGCTCATATGATCTTTGTCTGGATTTAGTATCAGCATAATACTAGTTTCATAAAATGACATTTTCCCTCCTCTGTTGTTTTAAGATGTTATGTAGAACTTAGGTTAATACTTCCTTACATCATTGGTAGAATGCTCCTGTAAAGTCATCTGGGCCTGGAAATTTTTTTTTTTTTAATAAAAGTTCATTTTCCTTATTGTTATAGGGCTATTAACATTGTCATTATCATATCTGATAAATTGTGGTACTTTGTCTTTCTAAAGGATTTGGTGTATTTCATCTAAATTTGTATGTGTGAAGAGTTGTTCAGAGTATTGCCTTGTTTCCTATTGATGTCTGCAGTAATAGCCCATGCCAAGCCTAATCTTGGTAATTTATGTTTTTCCTATTTATTCTCTGTCATGCTTAACAGCTGTTTGTCAATTTTATAGATCTTTTTCAACATGTGATTTATTTAATACATGCTCCATGAGGACTTGAAAGAAGTATGTATTCTACTATTGTTGTGTAAAATATTAATTATATATTGTTAATTCATGTTGTTGATTTTTTTATATGCTTACTAATTTTCTGTCTAATTGCTGCTGACACAGGGGTGCTGAAGACACTAATTATAATGATCAGTTTGTCTATTTCTCCTTTTAGTTGTATGACTTTTCCCCATATACTTTGCAACTCCATTATTTGGTGCACACTCATTTTGTATTCCTTTAAGTACTTTAAAGACTGACCCTTTTATCTTTATGTATTTTCCTCTATTTGTCCTGTTATTCTGTTTGCTCTGAAGGATTCTTACCTTATACTCATGTGTGAATGCTTGATTGGTCTAATCTTTGCATATTATATCTCTTTCCATCCTATTACTTTCATTACGTTTGAAGTGAGATCCCTGTAAGAAGCACATAGTTGAGTCATGTCTGTGGATTCATTCTACCACTCTTCTCCATATTTGCTTTTATATATTTAGATCATTATATTTGATGTAATTATTAATATGATAGAGCTGACTGCCATTTTATTTATTTACTTATTATATTCTTTGCTTTCTGTTTCTCTGTTTTCTTTCTCTGACTATTTTTTTTTAGAAGTTACTTACATATTTTTAGAATTCCATTTTGGGAGCTCTGGTAGCATAGTGCCTAAGGCACTTGACTGCTAACCAGGAGGCTGGAGGTTCAAACCCACCAGCCACTCCTCGGAAGGAAGATGGGGTAATCTACTTCCGTAGTGATACTGCCTCGGAAACCCAAGGAGGGGTCGCTATGAGTCAGGTCCGACTTGACGGCACATAACAACAACAACAATAGCAATTTTAATATATCTTCTAATTGTTAATGGTATTGTTAATGGTTCCTCTGGATATTAAATTATTTATAATAACATCACACTTGGCTAGTTTCTAAGTTTATGTCTTTAGACAAGTGAGAAAAGTTTTCAGTTACTATTTCTTCAGTAGTTTTTACCTGCACCCTTTTTCTTCTCTCCTTCTAAAACTTAGATGGCATGAATGTTAGAATTTTCTCATACTCTTATAACTCCCTGTGGCTCTTTTCATTTTTGTTTTCCATCTATGTTGTTCTTTGCTACTCAAATTAAACTTTCTATTGTTTTGTCTTCTAGTTCACAGATTCTTTCCCTATCTCCATCATTTTGCTATTGAGAGCATCTCTTAAGTTTTTTTTTTTAATGGTTATTATATTTCAGTTCTAAAATTGTATTTGATTCTTCTTTATATCTTCTAGTTCTTTGATATGACTTATGATTTATTTGTTGAAACTCTCTCTTTTTTATTGGTTCCAAATGTTCATAAATGTCCATTGACATAGTCTGGGGAAGATTGCTTTAAAACCGTTATCTTGTAGTTATAATATCATTGTCATGTGGTGCTGCCATCTATTGATTGTCATGTTCTCCTTCAGGCTGCACTTTTCTGACACTTGGTATAACAGAGGTTTTCAATTGAAACCTGGACATTTGGGGCATTATTAATGAAACTTTGGATATTGTTTAACTTTTGTACTATTGATATCATACTTGCAGAGGACAGGTGGGTGTTATTTTGTTACTGCCAGTTGGGGTTAGAAGTCTCAGTTTCCCACTTGTCCTCTGTTGATACTTTATATGAGTATTATTATTACTTCTCTGGATTATTGGAGCTCTGGTTTTCCACTAAGCCCTCACTGACACCTCTCTAGATGGGAGGAGCAAAACTGTTACTCCCTCCTATATTGCATCCACAGAAACTGGAGTTGGGGCTCATTACTACTCATGAGTATAAATGTGCTGGTTACCAACTTTGAAAAATATCTTTCAGGAAAATATTTTTCAGGAAAAAAGAGGAAATAAAGCTATTCTGTAAGACCCCCTTGATGGTGAGAAGAGTGATTATTACAGCATGAAAAAGTTGGAAATCTAGCTAGGTTCCCCACTTGGACTTTGGTGGTGTGAGTGGGAGTAAGATCACATTTTTTATTTTTCTCTTTTTAGTGCAATTATTATCGAAAAATATTCTGTCTTGTAGACTGTTCCTTTCCTGATGTCTTGGCTAGAGAGAGCAGGTTTTCTTGATGTTTTTATCTATCTATCTATCTATTTATCTATTGATTTGTTTGTTTGTTTGTTGTTTGTGCCTGTTGACATTTCAAGTTTCTCCAGCATTCATTTTGGGATATAAAGGCAAAAAGAAAACCCAGAATATTCTCCACCATGCTGATCTTCGGGTCCTGAAGTCTTGTTCCTGTCATTGTTGAGAATTTTATGTATGTTTTATGTATAATATCTAAATGTTTTAGTTATACTTAGAAGGAAGCAATAGGGAAAAGTTAACTTATTTCATATTCCTGGAATTAGAAGTAGACACTGGGACATTTTAATAGTAATAAACATATTACATCATAACTGCAGGTATAAAATCAGATTGTACATTATGTTTGCACAGTAGTCAGCCACAGAAAGATAATGGATCTTGAAAAAGAATATATAAAAAGTTCAGCACTGATGTTGAAGGATTTATGTGAGTGTTACTAAGAGAAAGAAGTAGGATTCATAATAGCTAGCATGTATAAAGTCTTATTAGGAAAAAGATATAAAATCAACTCTTCCCCCTCACCAGAAGAAAGGCCTGGAGATTTACTTCCAAAATATCAGCCATTGAAAACTCAATCTAGCACACTTGTACTTCGACTCACATGAGTTTACCATGAGGTGTAGTCAATTTAATGGCAATTGGTTTTATGCACGATTATTCTTGGAGCAATGTTTCTAATTAACAGAGGATAAGTACTACCCTATAGCTGTGAGTCGGGGCCGACTCGACGGCACATAACAACAACAACAACAACATAGTTGTGAAGTATATCGTACTATCAAAGTGCTTTCTTAATGTATATGTATGTATAAACTATTTAGTTTTATATGTAAATCAGTAGGGAAAGTAAGCTAACATATATCAAGTATCTACTACCAGTCAGTTACTCTGGCCTCTGTTTTATTCTTTTTAAAATTTTTATTATTGATTTATATATTTTTATTGTGCTTTGGGTGCAAATTTACATAACAAACTTGGTTTACATTCAACAGTTCACGTACATCTGATCACAGCCCTGACTGTCTTCCCCAACCATAAAAAAACTCTCTTCCCCTCGCCTCCCTGTGATTATCCCTTCCCTGTGCCATTTTGATCTATGCATTCCTTTTATATAAAATCAACCTTTACATGAATGTGAGAGCATATGCTTACATGTTCATATTTATATGTAGATGCATGTAAAGATGTAATGACTAGGTTATAAGCAGGGATAAGGAAACAAATCTATAGAACAAAAACTACACTTTAGAAGAAACGTACTTTGTTTAATGTGATCATATGTTTCAAATTATTGCAAAATTGTGTATGAGTATTAGAAGCTTTTGAGTGTTCATCAAAATATCAGCAGTTTTAACCAACCAGTTCTGCAGAACAAAGATGGGGTAGTCTACTGTAAAGATTACAGCCTTGGAAACCATATAGGGCAGCTTTGTCCTATAGTCTCACTGTGAGTTAGAATTGACTTGATGACAATGAATTTGCTTTTTGATTTATTATATATGTAAAAATAAACTTTAAAATGCACAAACTAGAAAGAAAATACTTATTTGAGTTTTTTGGATAAAAACTTAAATTTCCATCTCATTATGTAGTTCTCAATGGAACTCTGGTGGTGTTATAATAAGACATTTGGCTGCTAAACAAAGGATTGGTGGTTCAAACCTAGCAGATACTTCTTGTGAAGAAGATGATGCAATCTACTTCTATAAATATTTACATGCTTGGAAACTCTATGGGGTTCTCTAACAGTCAGAATTGATTTGATGGCACTGAGTTTAGAATTCTGGGGGATGGAGTCCTCAAACTGCTTTGGTGGCACACTGGTTAAAGCATTGGACTGCTAACCAAGAGACTGGCAACTCAAACCCACCAGCCACTAAGTGACAGAAAGATGAGGAAGTCTGCTTCAGTAAAGATTTATAGCCATGGAAATTCTATGGGACAGTTTTACTCTATCTTTGGGTTCATTATGATTCAGAATCAAACTTATAAAAGTGGGTTTGGTTTGGTTTCTGTGAAATCCTTGACCTCCAAATGTGTTCAAGTAGACTGTTCATATGGACACAAGAACAGGTGACTACAGATCTGTATGCTATTTAGCTGCACGAAAAAGTGCTAGGGAAGTAAGAATTCAAATAAATAATTGAGCAGCTGCGATTTCATTATTTGACATCTAAAATATCAGCAAAAGGATAATATTACTTTTTTTCTGAAAATTTTTAATGATATGTTGTGAACATTTTAGTAATATAAGCTTAAGGTGAAAAGTGAATTATCACACCTGATACACTGAATACTTCCTAAGAAGTTAGCATGTATCGATATACATTAGATGATTTTCTTTGTTTATACTCACCAGCCACTCCTTGGAAGGAAGACTGGGCAGTCTATTTCATGTAAAGATGTTGTTGTTGTTGTTATTTGCCGTCGAGTCGGCCCCAACTCATAGCGACCCCTCCTTGGGTTTCCGAGGCAGTATCACTACGGAAGTAGGATTGCCCAACCTTCCTTCCGAGGAGTGGCTGGTGGGTTTGAACCACCAGCCGTCTGGTTAGCAGGCAAGTGCCTTAGCCACTATGCTACCAGAGCTCCCAATGGAAACCCAAGGAGGAGTTGCTATGAGTCGGAATCAACTCAAAGGCAGTGAGGTTTCTTTTTTCTTTTGGTGTATTCGTTTGCTATACTACCAAGAGTAGAAATTACAGCTTTAAATTAGTTAAAAATTTAATTAAAACTAAGAACAAAATCTAATTAACATCTATAAAAATCATCTATACTCTAAAAGCTATGAATATATATTTCATTTGAGAATTTAGCTTTACCAGTGAAATTATCTCATTTTAAAATAAATCTGTAAGATCAGAATGCCATTTATGAAATTAATCCTTTAATATATAGTAATCAAATACCTTGAATTACAGTTTCTATGTTTTAATTTCATACAATAATACACACATTTTCAACCTCTTAAATATTTCCCTGTTGAATACATGGGAAAACATTCTAATTTTTGCTATGAAATTCAAGGCCTTTCATGGTTTTATTCTTATCTACAACTTTACTTATCTTCTGTCTATAAACATTTTGTTCTCTGTTCTTCCAAATAACCCTATATTATTCATGCTAAATTTGCTCATACTGCTACTTCCTCTGCTAGGAATGCTCTTGATGTCTGTATCACATGACAAACATGTACAGGTATCCCTCATTTTATTGAAATTTGCCAGTAGCATGTTTTTTACAAATGAAAGTTTGTGACAACCCTGCTTTAATCATATCTATTGGTTCAATTTATCCATCAGCATGAGCCCTCATCATGTCTCTGTTTGACATTTTGGTAATTCTTACAATATTTCAAACTTTTTCATAATTCTATTACACACTTACTAGACTATAAAAACCAAACCAAAACCACTGCCATAGAGTCAATTCCAACTCATAGAGACCCACACTGGGTTTCTGAGGTGGTAAATCTTTATAGAAGTAGATGGCCCAGTCTTTTTTCCACAGAATAGCAGGTGTGTTTGAACCATCAACCTTTTGGTTTGCAGTCTGATGCCTTAGGCACTGTGCTAATAGAGCTCCTTAACAGACCATAATATAGAGTAAATGTAACTTTACATGCACTAAACCAAAAAACCAAGCTCACTGCCATCAAGTCACTCCAAACTCATAGCTACCCCTTCTTGGGTTTCTGAGGCAGTCTTTCTATGGAAGTAGATTGCCCAGTCTTCCTTCCGAGAAGTGGCTGGTGAGTTTGAACCACCAGCCTACTGGTTAGCAGTCAAATGCCTTAGGCATTATGCTACATTGCAATATTTGGTTTATTGCACAAACCTGCAATATCTGAGATATACTTTCATTCTATTTGAAAATATAGTTCAAAGTTCATAATTTTCTTGACTGTTAAATTTATTGTCCAAGCACTAAAAAATGTTGTATTTATTTGTTTCACAACTATTACTCACTTTAACATAAATATTTTAATATATATAAATTTAAATATTGCCCCACAAAAAAAAAAAAAAAAAAAAAAAAAAAAAAATTGGCCATTGAATTGATTCTGACTCATAGTGACCTCAGTGTATTTCCAAGATGGTAAATCTTTGTGGAAGTAGATTGCCCCATTTTCCTTCCATGGAGTGGTGGGTGGGTTTGAACCACCAATTGTCTGGTTAGCAGTCAAATGCCTTAGGCATTCAGGATATGTGCTAAATCTCCTCATTTTGAATATCAATTGTCCCTTTCAGGATCTTTTGAATAATTGATATGTTAAAGCTAACAAATAATCCTAGAAGGTGGATTATATCAAGAACAATGAGGCATCAAGAATGGAAGAAGACTTATTAACAACCTGAGATATGCAGGTGACACAACCTTGGGTGCTGAAGGTGAAGATGACTTGAAGCACTTATTGATGACTGCAGTCTTCAGTATAGATTACACCTCAACATAAAGAAAACAAAAATCCTCACAACTGGACCAATAAGGAACATCATGATAAACAAAAAAAAGATTGACATTTTCAGAAATTTCACTTTACCTGGATCTATAGTCAACTTCCATGGAACCAGCAGGGAAAATCTGCTGCAAAAGACCTCTTTAAAGTATTAAGAAGCCAAGATGTCACTCTGAAGACTAAGATGCGCCTGACTAAGCCATGGTATTTTCAGTAGCCTCATAAGTATGTGAAAACTGGACAATGAAAGAGAAAGACTCAAGAAGAATTAAAGCCTTTGAATTATGGTGTTGGACTGAATGGTCCTCAGAAAGATTTTACTTGCATGTGATATTAATGATATTGTTTGATAATTTCCACATTCTGTGGGATCACATTTCTTTGGAATGGGTACAAATATGGACCTCTTCAGCCAGTTGGCCAGTTAGATCTCTTCCAAATCTCTTGCCATAACTGAGTGAGTGCCACCAGTGGGGCATCCGTTTGTTGAAACATCTCAATGGATATTTTGT